TCCTTCGGCCGTCGTGTCCACCGCCCGCTTCACGCCGCTGCGGCTGTCAGCTGCACTGGTGTGGATATGGCTGTGGCTCACCTCCCCTTCCTGCGGGTTGGGCTCGACGATCCTTCTGGCCACTTCACCCGGTTCGTGGCCGTCTGCGGCATTAAATGCCCCCCCATTTGCCGCCCCCACGCAGAGCTTCAGTATGTCCCAGGCGAAGTTCACCATTTCCCATTTTCCTGCGGCTGTTAGCTGCGCCCTACCAGAGCACCGGGACGTCTCTTGCGTAGCAAACGCGAAGCAATCCCCCACCACACTGCGTCTGTCAGTTGCACTCCAGCCGGGTCTCGGGTTGTCTCTGGCGTTATCTTTCCCCTCCGCTCTGCAGCTGCGTTGTGCACCCCAGCTGGGCTTCGTCGCGTTTCAGGCGAAGATACCATTTCCCATGTTCCTGCGGCTGTTAGCTGCACCCTACCAGTAGACCAGCACGTCTCAGGAGAAGTTTTCCCCAATCACACCGCGGAGGTCAGCTGCGCTCTGGTCGTGCATCGGCTTGTCTCAGGTGTAATAGTTTCCCCTCGCCCTGCGGCTGTTAGCTGCACCCCAGCAAGGCATCGGCTCGTCGCAGGCGGGACTTACCTTGTATCCTGCTGCTGTTAGCTGCACCCCAACCGACCTGGCAGGCGCGACCCGCGCCCCCTGGTCCGCCTCTGCCACTCATGCCATTGCCGGGCGGCTGTACGTCTCAGGCGAAACTTCTTTCCACCATCCCGCTGATTTTAGCTGCACCCGACCAGAGAGCTGCATGTCCCAGGCGATGCAATCCCACATCGCTCTGCGGCTGTTGGCCGGGCGGGCGCCGGGCTGTTCGTGGGCGGCACTGGCGGGTGCACCTACCTTCCTTCGGCTTTAACAGCTTCCCCCCCGAAGGTAATCGAGCTCCCGGCAACTGTCTGCTGCCTCTCTCTGACGGGCCCCCACACCTTTTGCCCCCCCCCCCCCCCCCGGGGCTTGAGTGGTGGGAGGCCCCCCGCGCTCTTTCGCCCCTGCGTTGGCCCTGGAGATGGCCCGGGGTGCTGCGTGGCCCTCAGCAGGGGCGCCTCTGCGCTGCCACTCGCACCTGCCGCCGTTGGCACTTCGGCTCCGTGGTCTCCTTGCTTCTCCGCGGCGCCGCATCCGACTGGATTGGTTTCGGGCCCTGCTGCCTACTTGCGACAATCACAGGTAGTTTTGCAAGGTGCGGACGATCTTCATCTTGTTCCACGTCTGAGCTGCGGCTCAGCTTTTCCCGCTATCTGTTCTTATGTTTCTCTTCCGCTGTTGGCCGCTCTTTCGCCTTCTTCCTCTGCTGTGTCTCTCGTCGCCTTTCCTTCGCTCTTGCGCCTCTTCCCACGTTTCTTTCGTTCGTTCTCCCCCCCGGCCACGTTGCCGTTGTACTCCGCGTGGTAGTTCTCGCCACCATCGTGGCCCTTTTCCGGGCCTCACCTGCGACGGCGCCGGCTTGCGCTCTTTTCGCGACCTCCTGACGCCGCGCGGGCGCCCGCCTGCGGTCGCGATCTTAAAAAGCATCCCCGCCAGTTCGGGCCCCTGGCCTCAGGTTGCCTCAGCCCTCGGCTGTCTGCGACCCCGCTCAGTCCATCGCGCTTGTGGCATTCATTCTGTCTCCGTGGAGTCGGGCGAGGCACCCCGGCGTTCCGGCGGACGAGCGCACGAGGCAAATCATGGCATTTGGATTTCAAGCGAGTCGAGCACCACGCGATACCATAGAGGACATCGAGGGCACACTAGTTCAAGTGATTGGCGATGGCCACGCCGCTAAATTATCCACCCGAACCGACCAGGCCAAGATGGGCATCATCAGTTTCTTGTCGATCCCAATCAAAGTGGAATTTTATTAGAAATGCCGCAACACACAAGGCCGACCCAATGATAAAAAAGGCAAGGCGTTCAAGAACAATCTGACGCTGAAGGAAAGGAGCAGGATAAACATCTAGGCTACACCAAGCACCACTTCAGCGAACACGCCGACTACAATAACAAAGACATCGAGATGAAGATCGTGTGGTCCAAGAAGGTAGCCCTCCGGCGATATGGACCACCACGGCAGCAGCAAAACACATTGAACAACAGGAGCAGGATTCTATCCAGGTGTGGAAGGACAAGATCAAGGACCCGCCCACGGACAGCGACCTGTGACAAGGACGGCCGCCAGGCACGCAAATCCAGCGCGCCCTAATACACAGTTCTGCGTTTCACCATCCTCCCAGGATTCATCCAGATGGGCATTCAAAGGCCGGATTTTTCCAGAAACCGAGCGACAATTTAACTTTTTACCCCCTTCCTACAGGAACCTCCCACTCAGGATATCCAGCGTCGGCTCCGGCTTCGCGGCCTACTACGACCGCGACGCCAACGTTCAGCACCGGAGGCGGCAGAACGGACCTTGTGCACGTAAGCGGCGACGTGCCAGCGTGCATTCTCCGGCGATCAGCGCCATCATGGGCAGTGACAGCTAGCAACCAACAGACACAGCACCAACGCCGTGCAACAACACCATCGCCAGCAGCGCTGACCTCACTCAACCAGCACACGCCGCCGTCCAACGCCGACCACGCAGCACCGCAAACAGCGCCGACCCATCCCGACCAGCACAGCACGCCCAATCAACCAGCGCAGACCACCGACCAGCAGCAACACCAGCAGCACCAACCTCAACCAACCAAAAACGACAGCAGCCGTCACCGACCACCGTCGACCAGCAGCACCACCACAGGCAGCACCGACTGCACCCGACCAACAACCACCCACCACCGACCAGCACCGACCAGCAACGCCACCTGAGGCAGCGCCGACTCCAATCGACCAGCATATCTCAGCGCCACCCGCCGACGACCAACACCGACCAGCAGCTCCGCAGCAAGCAGCGCCGACCCCGCCCGACCAGCGCACTCCGCCGACCGACGCCTACAACCCACCAGCAGCACCACAAGCAGCATCGACTCCAGCCGACCAACACCGCCAGACAGCAGCCGACACCGACCACCGTCGACCAGCAGCACCACCACAAGCAGCACCGGCCCCACCCGACCAGCAGCAACCACCCACCATCGACCAGCACCGCCAAGCAGCACCACCTCAAGCAGGAACGACTTCACGCGACCAGCATTTCCCAGCGCCACCCGCGACCGACCAGCACCAACCAGCAGCGCATCCGCAAGCAGCCACGTCCCACCCGACCAGCGCACTCCACCGAACGACGCCGACATCCGACCAGCAGCACCACCTACCAGCAGCAGCGACCCCGCCTACCAGCCACACCAACCCCACCAACCAACCAAATAAACTCCTACAACTTTGCCTTCCCTCCCCTGCCCCCCCCCCCCCCTCCTTCCTGGCCCCCCCCCTCCAGAGTCATGGAGGTCGTTCGCAGAAACGCCCGGTCACTCACGACGGACGACCGAATCCAAGGGCTGATCGCAGAGCTTGACAGTGCACATTGGGATTTCGTACTCATCAACGAGACGTGGAGAACAACGGCGACGGAGCTATGGACAACCACGGAGGGACACACTTCCGCAGGGTCTGGCAACGACCAAGCATGCCTTGGGGTTCTGATTTTGGCACACAAGCGCCGGGGGAAATATATGCAGAAGTTTCAAGCACTTTCGCCGAGACTCGCCACAATGTCATTGCAGAGGGGGCGGCTGAAATTTAAATTGGCGTCGGCGTACTTCCTACATTCTGGTTGCAGCGACGCGCGCGTTCAGCGCATATGCGACGCCGTCCACGAGATCCACAGAGAGAGAGAGCATCAAAGCGCGGCGCCACTTCTTTCTCGCCAGCGGCTTCAATGCGCAGGCGGGGGCATCCAACATATCCGAGGACGGCGACAAAGACGACAGCGACGATGACGACCGCGCCATTCCAGGATGCATGTGTCACCACGGCTATGGGAACGAAACCTCGAGAGGCACCTGGTTACGACATTGGGCCGCGCAGGAGGGGCATGCAATCGCAAACGCCTTCTTTCGCAAGCCAACGCGCAAGCAGATAACGCACGCCAGCGGCAACAATGAGAAGCAGCTCGATGACGCATTGCTCAACCGCAAGCTCTTCCGACACTGCGCGATCGCTGAGGCCAACGGCACGTCCGAGATGGGATCCGACCACAAGGCTATTCTCATCGACCTGAGGATGCCAGAATCTTCTTTAACGAAACAGCCACGGAGCGACGACGCACGACGACATCACCCACGTCCAACACTCAGACCGACAGGACGAATCACCGACACAAGCGCCTACCGTGAGCACCGGCGTCCACGACTACACCCAGAGGATTTGCCAACCGACTCACAAGCATTGATGGCCACATCCAAAATTTGATCATCGAAGCCGCCGTCGCTGCCAGCGCAGCTGGGGAGCCGCGACGAGACTTCCCGCCCGACAGAGGAGAGGAAGGACTACGCTTTCTACAAGGGCAGCGTCACCAGACACCAAGCAACGACCACCAAACTCGAAAACACCTGAGCAAACTTATACAGCAGAAGATCCGAGCGACGAAGCGAAGGACGCGACGATCTCATATAAGTTACGTGCTTGACAAGTTCAGTCAGTAGAGCAGCACGCGCATCGGAACGCGCAGAAGGCGGACGCCCATCACGCACATGACAGACGAAGATGGCGCCGCACGCGCGACAAGACAAGACATTGCTGACGGTTTCGCAGAATTCTACGAGCACCTTTACGATTCAACGGCGGAGCCGGCGCAGCAGGAGAGACCCGACAACGACCTCCCGCCTTTTTCACAAGAACGGAGCTGGACAAAGCAATCAGAGGGCTTCGCCGCGGCAAAGCCCCAGACACGAAATGCCTCCGAGCAGAGATGCTGAAAGACGGCGCGGAAGAGCTCAAAGAGGCATTGATCCACCTCTACAGCGCGATCCTGCAATCCAGCGCCCCACCGCCGGCCAGCTGGAAGGGCGCAGTCGTCGCGGTAATTCCAAAGAAGTGGGGGCCTCTCACTTCCTCAAAACTACCGCCCTATATGCACAATGCCGCTATTTTACTAGCTCTTCAGCAGGCTACTTTACGCCCGACTCCAACCAACGCTCGACTCTCGACAGTCAGCTGACCACGCATGCTTCAGACCAGGACATTCGACCACCGACCACTTCCTAACGTTCCACATTCTTCGAGGCCGCGCGCGCGAATGGAACCATAATTTGTGGATTGCAGCGCTTGACTTTAAAAAGGCCAACGACAGAGCCGAACGCGATTGCATCTGGGCATGACTGCAGGCGCAAGGTGTCCAGCCAGGATACATCCATCTACTCCAGCAGCTGTGCGAGGGACAGAAAGCCACGGTCAAGACGGACGTGAGCAGCCGGCCCTTCAACCTTGCACGGGGCACCAAACAAGGGGGCCCGTTCAGTACCCTTCTTTTAAACGCTCTTCTGCAGCACATTCTCGAACCGCTGATCACCGAATGGCTATATAAAAAAGGCAAGGGCGTTCGGCTGGGGCTTCCAACCGCCACCGGCGCTAACCAACCTTCGCTTCGCCGACGACGTGCTCCTGACCAGCCAAACTCTTCCGCGCCTCGCGACGATGCTGGAAGACGTAGCGCGGGCGGCAAAGCCGCGCGGACTCGAGCTGCACCCGTCCAAAACCAAGATCATGAGCAACCAGGCGAGACGGACCTGCAGGGCGAGTTCGCGCACGGCGCGCGTAGAGGGCATGGACATCGACATCTTGCTGTACGAGGGCAGTATTAAATATCTCGGTCATCTCATCAGCTTCCACGACGCGATGTAGACAGATATTCGCCGCCGAACGAGGGCCGCATGGGCGTCATTCGCCACGCACAGACAGGAGCTGACCAGTAAGCAGCGCTCGCTAGCGCACAGGTTTCGACTCTTCAATAGCACAGCAATGCCGACGGCTCTCGACGGAGCTGAGACCCGGGCGCTCGCGGAACCTCTCCGGCAACACCTGCGACGAACGCAGCGACGCATGCTCCGCATGATCATCAGAACGACGCGGCGACGAATCTGTCACAACACAAACCCTCACAACGACCGCGGCGGCACAGACGACGGCGCGACCAAAGAAGCGCTTGAGGACGCTCCTGACCAAACCGACAGCACTGACGACGCAGACAGCCACGCAGCGCAGCAGCAAGCGACAGACCAGCACAGCGAGAGCAACGACGCCGACAACGACGACGACAACGAGGACGTGCTGGAACCCTGGGTTGAGTACACTCAGCGATCAACAAGGCGTGCTGAACAGCTCATGCAGCACTACCAAGTCGCAAAGTGGGAAAGGATTCGCAGACAGAGATCGCGGCGCATTGCGTCAAGGGTCGCTAACCATGACCCCACAAGATGGACGCGGCGCACACTCCACTGGCAACCGGCAGAGAATCCACGCCGACGCGGACAGCGACAGCACGGCAGACAGCGCAAGCACTGGGAAGACGACATCGTCAACTCCAACAAAGCAGCCCCGACCAACATCCAACGGCCACGCCGACTACAACAGGCCAGCTGAACGACATTAGTTGGGCCCGTGCGGCTCAAGACATCTTCATTTGGTCGACATTCGAACGGCATGCGCGCGACGTAACTGCAGAACGCCGACTTCCACATCGAGGACTTCCTCCCCCCTCTCCTCCTCTCCTCCCCCGCTTCCGTCCTAACTTTTTGATTGCCTCGCTGTTTATTTGCATGGCTGCGTGTATCTCATCGCTCATTGGCATGCTTGCGTGTAGCTCATCGATTAGGTTTCTGGACGCCACGGCCTCCCCACCAGGTCATAGGTCGGCCCGGACATTTGCCCGCATGGTGGCTCGCTCGCTCGCTCGCTGGCCCGCTGGTCTACTCAAGAGTGGTTCAGCCTTCTTGGTTGGCCATGTGTGATCATCTACGTTGGCCTGCAGCCTCGCACGTTGGTCTGTTTATGCAGCCCCGCGCTTCGCCACGCCTGTGGCGCGTCGACCTTTGGCGCCTGGTGCGACAAGGTCCAATTCAACCATCCTGGTGGCCTCGTCCCTGGGATGCCCGCGCGCTTGCTTGGCCAGTTGGCAGCTCCCGGAAGCTCCTGCAGCCTCAGCCCTCGGCGCGTTTCAGCGTCCCCCCGGCGGTAGTCCTGCAGCCGCCTGTGCGCGCGCTAGGTCAATTAGTTCCGCGCGTAGCCCAAGCTGATTCGTGACGCCGCCGGACGTATCCCCACCAGCCAAGTTCTTCTTGGCGCTCGCGCTCCTCTGAGCGGCAGTGAGGGCCGCGTCCTGTTTATCTCCCTCCCGCTCGTTCTTGTCCTCTTTTCGCCTTTCTTCCTCCCTGCGCTAATTTGGGGCTGCTGCTTGCGTGCCGTGCCCTGGACGCCGCCCGACGTTCTTTCGCCGCGGTCGCGATCAAAAAAGTATCCCCACCAGCCTATCCAGAAACGATGCAAAGCAAAGGCGGGTTGCCTCTCAGACTCTCTTCGGGTCTCCGGATGTCTATTGGAAGCCTTTTGGAAGCCTCTTGGAGCGTTTCGGGGGCCTCTTAGCGGTCCTGGAGGTCTCTTGGAGCGTCTTGGGTGCCTCGGGGAACCTCTTGGGGCCCTCTTGCAGCCCTCTTGGGGCGCTCTTGGAAGCTTCCGAAGCGCTCTTGGGGCCATCTTGGAGGACATCGATCAACGAAAGGGATGGTCGCACTTCGCGTCCCCTTCGGGAGCCCCAGTAATCCCCTCCTGGGCCCCTCTTGGGGCGCTTTTGGGCGCTCTTTGGGCCGTCTTGACGACCTCGTGGGCCCCTTCGGGAGCCCTCTTAGGCCGTCTTGGAGCCATCTTGAGGCCTCGGAAAGCTATCGGAAGCGAACGGGCGAGAATGCAAAACACATTGGCTTCCCTTGGCCGTTTGAACGGGTATTGGCCTCGTGGGGGCCACTCTGGAAGTCTCGGAGGCATCTTGGAGCCGTCTTGGAGCGTTCTTGGGGCTTCTTGGAGCATCTTGGGAACCATCTTGAGGCATATTGGGCTATCGTCTGCCATCTTGGAGATCATCTTGGGCTCTCGGAGACCCTCTTGGCGCCATCTTGGGCGAAGCAATGCCCTCTGACACCTCGCGGGCGCCCCGTCCAGGTCCAGGAGAGGAAAGAGTCAAGAAGGGAGGTGGAAGAGGGAACTCCCTAAACCACCTACGCCCAGTGGGCTGGCGGGATTGGCATGCAGGCGTCTCCGAAGCCTACTCCTCTGAGTGGCTAGGAGAGGGTGGATCGGCCCGTAGCATGGGCACGCCAGGCGTTTCCCTGCTCAATGGCTGTGCTGCACACTCGCACCGCCAGATATACAGAACAAGACTGGCCCGTAGTCATTTTGGCTCAAGAGCCATTGGTGCCCCTCCAGCTTGTGGTGAAGGCGGTGGTGGAAAACAGGCCCATCAGCCATGGCCGACTACTCCGCGGTCGCGGGGCTCCGGCTGGCCGCGGACGCTGGGGCCCCAGGGGCCAGCAGCACCGAGGCCCTCACCCAGGCGCCCGCCGGCCGAGGGAGGCTGCCGCGACGGGCGTGCGTCGTCGCCGTGTGCTGCGCTGCGGCGGGGGTGGCGCGGTGGTGCGCTGCAGGCGGGGGCCTGAGCGCGTGGGCCCGACCGCGGGGCCTCACAGAAGAAGAAGGTGCGAACAGACTGGACCAGCGCCATCGCAGCCTGCACCCCAATGTGACAGAGGATGTCGCCGGGATGGGGGCAACCGGGACCATCAACGACAGAGTCGCCGAGATTTTGACGCACGACTGGTCGCCAGTCAAGGGGAAGAATTGCTGGCGCGTCGGCTTCGGCAGCGGGCACTTCCCCGACGGCAGTACGAGCGAGGACCACGGGAACAACTGCACCCTGGACGTGTGTCTGAAAGCGTGCATGGAGAGCGATTTCTGCCACGGAATCACGGTGGAGGCAGGCAAGAACACGAGTGGCCCGTGCTGGCTGCTCCCGGAGCTGGTGCTCGACGAGTGCCAGGACGGACCCTCCTACGACACCTACAGGCGGGGCCCCATCCCAGACCGCGTCGCGCAGATCCAGGAGGTCTCTGGCTGGAGGCGCTATGAGGGCCTCAACTGTTACCCCGGCGCTGGCAGCTGGAACTTCCCAGGGATCACCGGCACTCACTTTCAGACCTACGCGGGGCGAAAGATCACCGTGAACGAGTGCATGATGCGCTGCGAGCAGGACCCGCTGTGCGAGGCCATAGTCGTGGCCCACCAGGACCGCGCGGCCTTCACCCCCTGCAAGCTGCGCCATCTGGTGGTGCCCGGGTTGTGCTCCAAGAACATGGCGTTCGACACTTGGATGATGGACCAGGGCCGCACCCTCGCCCCCGGCGTCGAGGAGCCCGCCGCAGCGATCGGGCGGGACAGGCTGCACGGCGTGCTCGACATGGTCCAGGGGGAGGGCTTCGACAAGATCGACCTGTCGAGGTGTGCGCTGGTCGGGGCGTCGGGGGTGATGAAGGGCTCGCACAAGGGCGCGGAGATCGATGGGCACACTGCCGTAATCCGGATCAACCGCCTCCCCAGGGGCGAGTATTACGCCGACTTCGGCGCAAAGACTGATTTTTTCTATGTCAACCACGAGTTGTCGGGGCAAGTCTCGTTGATGGGCGGTGAAAACGCCAAAGTGATCAAGTGCGCCGACGCCGTCGGTTGTCCCAAGGCCGGGATCATTGCCCGCGGGGACCTAGAGAGGTGCAAGCCCAGCGAGATGGCTTCCAAGTGGGGCCCCGACCATCCCTTGGTGGGCTGCACGCACACGAACATATCGAGGATGGTTGCCACGGGATTTCACACTCTACATGGAGCGTTGGCCACCACGGGCCTCCATGCGTTTTTCACGTTCCTACCTGTGTGTGACGAGCTCAACCTGTACGGTTTCGGAGGTTTAAGCACGGCAGACGGCCATGCGGAGTGGACCCAAGGACACAATCTCTTCCAGGAACACTTGATTCAGGACCACGTCATCAGCAGGCAGTGGGACTCGGTGCCGTGGAGGAACAAGTTCAGAGAGTTCGATTGGATGAAGAGGGTCATGGGAAAGGTGAGGAAGGTGGTCGGCACGGTGGCGTGAGCTCGAGCATGAATACTTGAGCGTCCTTATCCTCTCTGTACGACATATTTGCCCCCTCCCCCCTGGTCATTCCGCTCCAGACATTTTGTCTGTCGCTTCTGTTCGCCGATCAAGCAGCTTGGGCCGTGGGCCCAATGCATTAGCCCGACACAATACGCAGTGCGCCACAATATGAATTGGCACGCTGCACTCTGCCACTAAACGAACTGCTACAATGCAGAGCGTTCCACAATATAAGTCTTCAGCACCGATTCTTTGTACGTGCCGCAATACGAATGTGGCCACTGGGTGACATTCGCGAGCGAGCCACGTTTGCCGCGGAATAGTATTGGCACCGTACGGCCATAGCTAGGACACGTAGGCGCGAAGAAGGCGTGTTCCTGTGGCGCTCGCGGCCAAAGTGTTTGCTGCCGGCTGCCACGCCCGCCCTCTTGTGCGTTCCGCGCTGCTTCGAGGAGGAGACCTTCGTTCTCCTCTACAGCCTCCTTGCTTCCGCCACCTTGCTCCCCACTAATTATTCCCGCCCTGCCGTGTCAGTGGGAGGCCGTGGCGCAGAGGGCAAAGCCCGCTGGCCAACAGCGATCTCCTCGATTTTTCTGTTCAGCGGCCATGTAGAAAAAAAACAAAACAAGATTGGCGGCCTTGGCAGATCTCCGACGAATGCCTGCACCATATTGTGCCCGGTGAACTTCTAGGCCCGAGATTTGAGGCATGTGGATGGGAGGAGAAGCCGAGGATCCAATTCCAGAAGGACACTTATCAGGTTGAGGAGATGGGGTTGGGAGAAATGACCAGGTCATTCGTATTGTCGCGCATGGTGAAGGTGCTGATTGAACAGTTGAGTATTCACACACGCTACCATTGTTTATCGCATCCTCCAAGCCTTCTGGAGCTTGATCTGCATGGAAATTGTGCGGGCTTTCTACTTGAACTGAGTTGGGGCCCTTCGCTTTCATCTCGTTGGAAACGATGTTCCAGCTCATCGCGCTCATGCGTCTCTCCTTCATCGTCAGCAGCTCATCCTGAAGAACCCTGCTCTGCGCATCCCGGGCTGGGCCAGTGTTCTGGCATCACCTATGGGGTCCGATCGGCAGCGATGCTGCACCGCCAGTGTCGACGACTCATGCAAAAGGCGTGGCGCGACCCCAGAAGAAGGGAAGCGGACCCATGCATGATGGACGCATTATGGATTTGTTCTTCCGTATCAGGAGCGGGACGCAATACCGAACTTGCGGTGGCCCCGCAACCTCCCAAAATTTGCATGGACGCGAAGAAAATGTCGCAAGTGCTTTCCGTACCAGCAGCGGATCGCAATACTGAACCCGATGCGGAATGCACGATTCATTGGGCAATTGCCGAACCCTCGCGGCATTGCCCATGCCCCTGATCCATCCCCAGTGCTCGTCGCGCAAGCTCCGAATATTAACCACCAAGTGTGTTGTTGAGTTTGGAAGTCGAGTCCCAGTCCGACTGTTCATTGTTCAGTGGCCCTTACTTTCTTCCAATTTGGCAGCCGCAAACCTACGAATCTGAGCCAAAGTGTGCGTGCGTGCATTATCCAGCCGGCGCGCCGATAGGCGCATGGCTTCTGCACTGCACACGCTCGCTCCGCTCCCAGGTCACTCTCCGGGAACTTCGGTCGTCAGTACTCGGCCGCCCGCTGGAATCGGCGGCACACACGCACCAAGACGCAGAATTGTCGCAGGCCTGGAGAGTGACTCCAACACCAATATCGTCGGTGTGCCTCCACCGATGGAGGAAGATCCCGATCTCGGTGATGGTGGTAATATTATGGCTTCCAAGGTGGCCGAAATATTACCACCAACACCGCAATCTAGGATCATCTCCCCCCTGTGGTGACCACCCCCTGTGTTGGTGTTGGTGCCCATTCCCAGGCCTCCCAAATGGGGAACCCGGGAACAGGCACCCGGGAACCTTGGGAACGCGGTCGCCTGCCGAAGCCGGCGGCGCACGCTCGTCAAGTCTTTACACATCATCCGCGAGGACCCTTTGCGCAAGCACCGATCAGGGAAAACCAGTACTCCAGATTTCGTAATAAAGGGAGGGGGGTCTCGTTTCGGGGGGGGTCTCTTCCAGGCTATCTTGGAGGGCCTGGGGGGGTCTGGGGACGATGTTTTGGAGGGTTCTCCCACGGGGGGGTCTGAAATGGCTTGTCTTGGAGGGTCCAGACCCCCTTCCTTTTATTACGAAATCTGGAGTAGACACGTCCAGGGGTCGTCCTCGAATCTCGATCTTCCTTGATGCCGTCGCACGTGCTCTTGGCGACGCTCACACCTGCCGAGTCACTTGCCCCTCCCTCAGGCGGCGCCTCTCTCTCCAGCGGCGCCAGCATGCCCCTCCTTGGAGCGACATCGACCTTCGCCTCCTTCTCCTGGCCCCGAGAGGGACTTCACGCACCCTGGGTGCCGACCTCAGCTCTGGCTTCAGTTCCGCAGCGACCTCTAGCTCCAGCTGCCAGCTCACCGGTTCAACCTCGTTTTGGCAGTGATGATTCCAGTGTCAATTCCACATCTGAATGCCGGCTCCAGCTGCAACCTCGAGTTCCATCGTTTCCTGTTCATAAGGTCCAGATGTGTGTTGCCCATGTTGTTGTGTTGTACGTGCCTTGGCACGCACATTGACCTTGCAGATGTGCACACGGAGTGCTATCGTAATCCGGAATATCCCGACCTATCATCATCATGTCTTGCCGTCGACGAGATGACGCAGCCATCATCATCATCATCATCATCATCATCATCATCATCATCATCATCATCATCATCATCATCATCATCATCATCATCATATTCATCTTCATCTTCATCATCATCGTCATCATCATCATCATCATCAACTGATTCTCATCATCGTCATTACCATCAGCATCGTCATCGTCATCGTCATCTCCATCATCATCAGCATTACCATCACCGTCGTAATTCCAAGCATCATCACCACCATCACCATCACCGTAATCATCATCATCATCATCATCATCATCATCATCATCATCATCATCATCATCATCATCATCATCACCATCACCATCACCGTCATCGTCATCCTCAACATCATCATCCTCGTCGTCGTCGTCGTTATCATCATAATCCTCATCATCACCATCGTCAGTATCACCATCACTTGTTTCAGTAGCCGGGTTGGCTGAGGTTGTGCTGATTAGTTATGCTTCATCACGTAGTTCGGCGCGGCGAATGGTTCTCCAGCATTTAGCCATTGAAGCGAGTGGTTGTCAATGGCACCAGGCGGTACATGGCAACGATGCGGTATTCCTGCGATCGTATTGACATGGGCTATCTGGTCTGATCTTCCTTTTGGCCTAGTACAGTGCAGGGAGTTCACACTGAAGCAGGAGCTGGCCTTGCGGGAGACTGGGCTGCGAAATTTGCACGCGAGACGCTCTGACATCTTCCTCGTTCCGCCCAGTCCCTCCCATCGTTCCATCCGCGCTCTTCGAGTCCCCATCTCCCTTTTCGTGTCCCCTTTTCGTCCTCATCTTCTGCATCACCACGAACGTTTTTGGCATCATCGCTCGCATATTCCTCATCCCTCTCATCATCATCATCATCAGCATCATCATCCTCATCATCTTCGTCATCATGTTCATCACCATGTGCATCATCATCACCACAATCACCATGATGATGATCATCATCATCAACATCATCAGCATCATCCACATCAGCATCAGCACCAGCACCAGCATCAGCAGCAGTAGCATCCTCATCGTCATCACCATCATCATCATAATTCCCAGCATTCCCATCAGCATCTTCATTATCTTCCTGCTCCTCATTCTCACTCCCCCCCTCCACTTCCTCTCTCTTCCCCTCTCCCCATCCGCCCTCCACTCCCCCCCCCTCTGCTTCCCCTTTTCGCTTCCCCACTTTGTTTCCTCTTCAGTGTCGCTCCTCCCCGATTCCCTCCCCCCTCCTCCTTCCCCTCCCCTGGGGGGGGGACTGTCAGGATGGCCCCGGCACATGTGGCTTTCACGCACGCGCGAGGATGGTGGCATTCAGGGGCTTTCTGGCGGGGCGCGGCTTCGATGTTGGCTTCGGCGCCCTCCACCAATGTGTCTGTCCTCTTTCTCCTTCGCTTCCCTACTCCTTCTCCTTCTCCCTATTCCCCCTCCCCTCCTCTCTGCCTCCTAGTGATGCGACTCCCTGCTCCTGTCCTAGTCGGCCTCCCCCGTGTGCCTTGTTCCTCCTCTTCCTCACCAGCTTACTCCATATTCCTACATCTTAGTCCTCCGCTTGGTTTTCCCTCTCCGCACATCTGCAGGCGCGCCGCGGGCGGAGGGCGCGGGAGCCCCCCGGACAACCGTGGGACACCATCTCCGTTTACGGGGCGGGGGCAGAGCTGCACACCAGGCCCGCCGGGGCCACGGTTTGCGGCGGCCTATAGGGCCCGCCGGGGCCACGGTTTGCGGCGGCAGCGCCCGCCTGGGCCACGGTGTGCATCGGCCCGAGGCTTGGGGCCCGCCGGGGCCATGGCTTGTGGTGGGCCCGGGGGTTCGCCGGGGCCACGGTTTGCAGCGGCCCGGGGCGTGCTGGGGCCACGGTTGGAGTTTGTTTTTTGAGATTCGGGCAGGTTTACTTGCATGGCGTTTCCACCCCTGCCTCCGCAACTCGTCCATTCCAGCATTCAACTTTCCACATCCACCTCCGCGTCCACCTATCGACCTCCAGCCTCCGCTGCTTATAGCACCAGCGGACGTGAACACCCACCCCCGCACATGAGGGCTCTGGCCTGCCCGCGCCGGCCTTCCAGGCCCCGCCGCCCTTGTGGACCTTGGCGCGCTCCGTTCTGCTCTGTCAGCAACGTCGCATGCGAACCGGTGAGCTGTCCGGTTCACTGGGGCCCCAGTTGCGCCAACGTCAGTGCCGACGCGCATTGACGCCAGCATCAACGCCTGCGCCTGCGCCGGCACCTGCGAGAGCACCAACTCCAGGGCGTGCACCAGTGCCGACGTCAGCACCAACGCCGGCGCCTACGCTGGCACCAACGGCGGCGCCTGCCCCAGCACCGACACCAGGCCGCAGCGCACCGAGTATCTGCCCAGCCAACTGGTGCACACCAGCGCTAGCACCAAGGCCGGCGCCTTCGCCATCGCCGACGCCAGCACCGACACCAGCATCATCGCCTACGCCTACGCTGGCACCAGCGCCAGCGCCCACGCCAGCAGCAACGTCAGCGCCTACGCCAGCACCAGCACCTGCGCCTACGAGGGCACCAGCGCAAGCGCCTACATCGACACCAGCTCTGGCGCCAGCACGGGCGATAGCCGCTAGCGCCTCTGCACCAACGCCGACGCCATCGCCACGCCCAGCACACCGGTGAGCTGCGCCGATCACCGGTGTTCCAGGAATTAACGCTTGCGCCTTCGTCAGCGCCGTCGCCTTCACCGACGCCCGCATCACCGTCTGCGCCCGCGCCGGCACCAACGCAAGTGCCCACACCAGCGTCGACGCCAGGACCGACGCCAGTTCGAGCGCCAGCGCCCACACCAGCGCCGACGCCACCACCGACGCCAGCGCACCGGTGAGCTGCCCAGCTAACCAGTGTTCCAGCTACACCATCCCCCCCCCATGCGGCCAGTGCCAACGCCACGGCTGATACCAGCAGCCCCACTTTCAGCCCTAATGCCCTACTACAAATCGGGAATCGAACAACTCCTGCGTCCCACCCTTCGCCGTGCGATAGCGGAGGGCCCAGCACGCCAGAAAT